TGAACAGTGACTACGTGTTTTTTTTGTTACATTGCAATCATTTTGAAACTGGCAACGTGTCATAAGCTATTGAAATTTGTTGAAAGAAAATTATTTTTTTTTAAATATAGGTAAAACTCACCGATTTTTTGTGTGCATTTCGACGAAAAAACGATTTACAAGACATACAAGTAACAACATTAAAATTTAGACCACGCGCAACATCACCACAGATGCGACAATTTGTTGAAAAGCGAGATGATACGTTGCATAAACCCTTTCTATCTTTCATTCTTGTAGAGAATATGGTTTAGAAGTATGCACTAATGAAGAATTTCAGTTTTATTTCATCATGTCAGATTGACATAGTACATCTTCGTTCGGATCCAATTGTATACACTGCTTGAACCATATCTCTCTAATTATATTAGAAAAATATAGAAAAACAAAAAAGAAATAAAATTTATTGGCTTATCGCGCTCGTCCAATCAAATATCTAGTCAAACATGCAATAACAGTGTGGCACTAGATTACAATATCATAAAAGCATAACTATCTTTTTTGACGATTAAACATATCAATTTTGCAACCCTATATTCAATACAAAGGCGACTACCAAGGCATTTTCTGCGACATTAAAATATGAAATACAACGAAATTACTTGTATTGTAAACGAAAAAACTTTAACAATACATCTTCCCATTAATTAATTGTTTCTTATACTGCATCTGTATGGTTAGTACCAGAAGTTGTTGCTAAAGTAGATTGAACTCAACCGTGGATTTTATAACTAGAAGAAGGTAAAAGAGAAGTTTCTTGTCTTGTGTCCTCCATCCGAGAAAGTGAACAAAATATCAAGTTCTGTGATTATTTAAAGTAGTTAGCAAGCTTGAAATCAAGAAAATTTCACATAATAAAAACGTAGAATATTATGAACTTCTTTTCTTAAAAACTAATAGCTGTAAAAAAGCATAGTTGATTGAACCATTTGTATCACGTGACCTCATCGATTGATATTAACTTTTAAAGGATAAGAGTTTCACATAAATACGTGATCACTAAATATTCTACCGAAAAATAAAACTGCAACGTTGTAATTTTTGTACAAACAATATTTTTTTTTCAATATATTCTTTTATTAAATGCTATACATCTCTCAATCATTCATTATTCTACATATTTGTTTCTAATTAATTGAATGGAACTAGTATTGTTCAATATGTAGAAGTTTTTCTTCTCTAAAAAATAGTGTTCTTCTGTTTCAGATTGATGTTAAATCTTTCACAAATTCTTGACTGTGTACAACAGCGATCATAAGAATATGGATTTATGTGCATTATCTTGAATGAAATATTCGTTTAGAGCACCTGATCGAAATAAATTAACAAGAGCATATAAGCTATTTAATTCATATAGAACTATTCAATGGATTAAGACGAAACACTAAATACAACAATTATTTTCTCTTTTCCAATAACCGCCAAAGTTCGGCAAGATCTGTATTACAAACTATTTATTTTTTTAATGAGCCATCTTATCAATAGAGTAAATAGACTCAAAAACCAGTCTCAAATTTCACAGAAGCCGTAAGCTCTTATGCGAGAAAAAATTTAGTTGTTTCTTAAGCACATTTATTGAGTGATGCATGACTAGCTTGTGTTAGAGAAACAGTAGATGCATGTACATATGTATAGGGAGGATAAAAATATTTTTCAGATGGGAGAAGGACTAATGTTATGATTTCAAATAGCATTGATAACAAATTTAAAACCAAATTAAAGTACATCAAAAATGGGGTACATCGATACTAATTGGTAAAGGATACAGCAACTTTTTAGTATCGAGTTCGGGAAACTTCTAGAATTCAACGTCATATTACCATTGAAAAATCATTTTCATAAGAGAGTTCAAACTAGATCTCATTTAACATGAGTAATATCACAAATTACTATTTATCTCTTAAGATTTAATGAATATGACCAATAATCAATATAATGGTCGTTAGCTTTCTTTACAACACTAAGATAAGACGGATACCTACATGAAATAGTTCCCATTTTGATTTAGTTTTATTTTTGATTATCGGCACAATATTTTGTGAAGATAGTCAATCACTAACCAGTTGTAAGTCACAGAGAAATTTACTTTATCGTGTATGCACAATTCTCCTTTCTTGCTGCAAGCAACGGTTATATATATACACATGGGTTCGGAACAAAACGAATATGCTAGAAAATACCAGAGAGTCAAGAACTCACAGAAGAGAACATACCAGATTCATACAGAACAAAACGAATATACTGGAATATACTAGAAACGAAAACATCATATATCCATCCACGCATAACCACAGAAGGAAAAAGATATAGATGAAATACATATATACGATGACGGCGCAACAATGATAGAACGAAAGCGATGATCCATAAGTAATGACGCCATGTAACGATTTTCGGGCAGGTATCCAATACTTTGTGTTATTTCTCATTTTAAATCAGATGTAGTTTGAACTGATTGATAAAAGTCATTGTTCAGTATCAATATGGTGCAAAAATTCTAGGAATTTCCTGGATTCGACACTAAAAGTTTTCATTACCCTTTACTATTTAGCATCAAGAAATCTCATTTTTGACGCGCTCTTTGATTTGTCACAAAATTTGTGATGAATGGTATTTGAAATCATAGCGTTACCCCTCTGAAGAAATATTTCTATCTACCCTGTAAAAATGAGACGAGCAAATAAAAACTGAAAGAGACAAAGAAATATGCAACTTAAGCACGCTTATATCATTTGATCATCACATGGCTAAATCGTGTGCGTGTGAACAGATGTCACAAATGTATTATATTTAGATAAAATACATTCATAATTATCACTGAGATTCGAATAGACATGTTAACAAAATTAGACAATTCCAATGTGGCTCTCGAATAGATATTTAAATATATTCTTTTATTAGATTGCTTCAATGCATCAAATTTTTTTATAAAACTATCTCTTCTGATATTGTTAATAAAGAAAAATGAACATTGACATACAAAAAAGTACTTTCACTTGACAAAATTTTAATTGTTTCTTTTTTTATCAACATATCTTAATTTTTTGTATGAAACTCATCATTTCTGAGAAACATGCTTAAGTATTACTTATCTCTGTGTGGACCATTTATCAGACTATTTTGGATATTCCAAAGAAACGAATAAGATTAATCCGAAGAGAATTTTTTTATTCATATGAAGAAAAAAACAAGATGTTTGTAAAACCATTTATCCAATGAAAATATTTCATATGTCTTAGATATGTTTGACTCAGTTTCATTATGATATACTCCGGCTATCCATTACAGATGAGGTGCATAGAAAGAAAAAGGGAAATGGATGACTATTTATTAAGAAATATGATTGGTGTTTCCACGTCGCAACACCAATGTCATTTCTTAATTCACTTTTAATGCGCGTTGCTTATTTGAAGCCTAAAGGAACTTCATTGTGACGGCATACAAAATAGAAAAAAAATATAAAGAAAAAGAGGAAGGCAATAAGAATGAAAAACTTTGTACACTAAAATGTATTGTTTACTGAAAGAATAGTTTAATTATGTATACATATAGTCGACCTTTTTTATGTGGAAAAACACAACTAGCGTTTTTCAGCGGACTGTACGATAATTCACTAATGAAAGAATAAAAACTAAGATAAAGTTTAAAAGTAAATTATAGAGATGGTAATAAACAAAAGTGAACTTATTTTTTCTTTTCACATCTAATCTTTTGGAATGAATTAAAAATGTCATAAAAGTAATTCTTCGAGTATACTTCACTAGAAATTTAATTAAAAATAAAACAGCACTTTATGACTACTAGTTGCATGTAAATAATTAAACATCTTTGTTATCTTGTCATCATATTATTTATAACTTTTCTAAATGGCACAAGAAATTTTTTAGTCAAAGATAACTTTTATTCATATGCATTCATACTTTCTCTCACACAATTATTTCTTGCTTTTATAAAATTCAAATATATTTGGCTATACTATAGTAGAAAAGTTTATTTTTAAAACATATCTATTTAAGCGACCTATTTTTGAGTGTCATACTGCGAGATGTATACCTAAACGTTAGTGGATTCTTACCTTGTGAAATAATGTTGTTACTTAAAATATTAATTCAAATATTAGTTTTAGTTATATGTGAAGTAAGTCATTTTCTTCTTGAAAAAAAACTATTCGAAAAACATTCATCTAATGTGTTATTAAAAAAAGAATTGTTTCAGTAGAAGAAGCAAAAACATTAGTGCGTTGAAACAAAAAAAGTAAACACATTCAAATGATGTTTCATATAATATGCATTGCGAAGAAAAAGAACTCTTTTTCTTCCAAGCACGTTCTAACAGCGTTTTTACATGATAGTTCAAGTTAAAAAAATGTTTCATAATTAGAAAAAGAATGTGTCTAGAAGCGTTGAAATAAAACGATTGGTCTCAATCCGAAAATACTGTTTTTCTTTCTGAAAATTAGTGTTAAAACGCTGTTTTGTACAACACTGTCTTCGTGGAAATTAACAAGATCAATTGAAATTAAATTGTAGGAATAAACTGAACTGAGATATATCAGGTAGAATTCAATGCAGAATTTATGACTTAAACTGCATTATGTGCTAGGAAGAGTATCATCAAATATGATATTTTTTCGAAAATTTCACATATTTCAATGTATACTGTTTTGTGTACAGTTGGCTGTTGTAAGTTTAATTTTTGCTAATAATGACAACTTTTTCTGTTTATTTTTCAATCGAAAATCTTTCCACGTTTTCTCTCCATTTTATTTTATTTTTCAATAGATAATTGTTCTTTGTTTTTAGCTTAACTTTATACAATAAATAACAGTACTGTTGAGAGCACCATATTGATGATCATCGACATATTTCTTTTGTATAAGTCTCAGTATTCATAATAAGAAAAAACGTTAGATATCAACAGCATCTGTTACTGATATGAAAATTTCTGTAAATGTCTGTAATTCAGTTGCCATTCATCAATGTATGTTCTGTTTCTGTTACGATTGGATTCATAATACGGCTACGAGTTTCTGTCTGAGGAGCCTGACTTAACATATTAACTAAATCTAGAACATCCTTTATAAGTCGAGTAAATCGAAGTACTGCTTCTTTGAATCCATATAGATATATCAAATATTTCCACAACATCGTAATATATACATTTTGAATAGGAACCAAATGGATTGAGTTTGACATAATTGTAAGATCTGCTTGACTATCATATGTAACAAGTGAGCAATTGCTTGAAAAAGCTAATATGAATACGAAGATTTTAATAAGACTTCCATTTGGATCATATCGTGCAATTTTTCGACGACATTCTATCATATATTCACAACCATACAACTGGGTGTAAGAATTGAGAACAGACATATTATCCAATACGTGCAGCTCACGACACAAAAAGAGTCCATTCATCGAGCCAGTGATGTACAAATTACGTTTAACAAGAATTTGACGAACATTAACTGGTAACGAATGAAAATCTGATGAACGTTCAATGAGTGGTCCAATACTGCTAAAAAGTTCGCGAATAAGATTCGTGAGTTCTAATGGTTTCAAACGTAATTTGGGTGGTAGTGAAGTTAACTCATTTAGCGAATTTTGAATTCGTGCAGAAGGATTCTGCTCATCAAATGCATGAAGACAATTCGAAAGAAGAGTCCATTCATTAGTTGTTAATGTTGAGCGATCATTTTGAAGAAGACCAAGTGGTAAAGACTATACAAAAAAGATCAACAAACATATCATTCTCAAAGAGTATTCAAGAAATATTATTACTCCTGGTAACTGAATCTGTTTATCTTCCTTCGTTTGTACTTTTTGGATTTTCTTGGAGACCTTTCTAGAATCAGGAATAAATCGAATTAGTGCCGGATCCATTTCTAATTCGAAACATTTCTTTAAACGGCAAGGTGAACAGTAACTGCGTGTTCTTTTTGTTATAGGACAGTCGCTTTCAAATTGACAAAGTGATAAGAGCTATTCAATTTGCTGGTATTATTTTCTTTTTAAAGATAGGTAACACTCACCGATTTTTTGTGTGCATTTCGACGAAAAAACGATTTACAAGACATACATGACATAACACTGAAATTTACACCACGTGCAACATCGCCACATATTCGGCACTGCTGAGGATGCGTAGGTGCATCATCACTTAATTTTTTTCTATTTTCCATTGTCAAGAAGAGAAAAATGTTGAAGGAATGTTGAGTTGTTG